ACTGTCACACTGTCAGAGTTTTGGTGCCTGTCCTCCTATCCCCCCAAACACACACCGACGCACACACCTGTGTGTTCTTTTTTCTTTTTTTCTTTTTGGGTCACACCCGGCAATGCTCAGGGGTTACTCCTGGCTTTGCACTCAGGAATCACTCCTGGCGATGCTCAGGGGACCATATGGGATGCTTGGAATCGAATCCGGGTCCGCCACGTGCAAGGCAAATGCCCTACCCGCTGTGCTATTGTTCCAGCCCACCTGTGTGTTCTTGAGCTGGCAAGGCTGCCCCAACTTGACACCCTCCCCCCAATCTTGGGCACCCATGGAACTGAGACCCTGGTGGGGTGGGGAGGGAATGGAGGGGCTCCTGCTTCTCAGGAAGCACTCCGGGTGTAGAGGGCCAGGTTGGGAGATGAAGATGGGGAGCGGGGCGGGGGTATGGTGGGAATGGGAGGTGGAATCCTAAGCTCCGCCCTTGATCCTCCAGCACTATGGCCCCTCTGTCATCACCTCCATCGATGAGCAAGATGCCCTTGGACACTTCTTCCAGTTCCGAGGGACCCCATCCCACTTCCTGGGCCCTCTGGCCCCTGCGCTGGGGAGCTCGCACCGCAGTGCCGCACCAGTGCCCCCTGCTGGTCGTGTCAGCAGCATTGTAACTCCTGGGGGTGCCCTGAGGGAGGCTCATGGGGGACCCCTTCCCTCGGGCCCATCTCTGACGGGCCGCCGGCCAGACATCATCTCCCTGGACTGAGCGCCCAGGGCTGAGGTGTCTGTACTGCCTCCCTGCAGGGACCCAGTGCTCACTCCCAGGGGCTCAGCCTGGGCCAGAGAGACTCTGCTGGGCCAGGCCAGCAACAAAGGGTTAATATTTAACCCCTGCTAAAGGACCCTGGGGTGTGTTTTGGGGACTGTTTATGGCTGGCTTCACCCTCTCTGGGGGTGTCCATCCAGGCTGTGGAGGCAGAGGAGGGGAGGAGGAGGCGGAGCCTTCAGCTTGGCCTGGAAGGCTCAGGGTCGGGAAGGAACTTTCTCCTGCAACTCATCCACGGTGCTGCCCTTCCTCGTGGTCATGGTGCCACGGGCCCTGCGTGTCCCTACCTACTCTTGGCCCTCAGGTGAGAGAAGGGACCCATGTGGACAGAGAACTCTATTTTGGGCTGCAGTTTTTGTACATAAACAAGAAAAACCAAATACTCCAAAGATGACTCCCCCCTTGCCCCTGCCTTCTTGGAGTGACTGAGGAGGGGAGAGGGAGCAGGGTCTGGCTGCTCCTCGGGTCTCTATTTATATATTTAAGTTCATGATGCTCTTCACGCCGGCCAGCCCGAGTCCCAGCTTCTGGAGCTCGTGGCCCTGCAGGTGGCCGGGCTTGATCTGCACCTTCCTGGGGCTGGAGCCAGGACTCTGGCCCCCATTCCTGATCCCACCCCCCATCTCTGTTTTCAGGCTCCTCCAGAGCCTCAGATCTATGTTGTAATTTTTACTTTTCATTCCCAAAGTTGTAGCAAAGTCTTTACCCACAATAAAAGTTGTGAATGTTGTGTGTGTCACAGGGGTGGCGGTAGGGAGGGGGGCCTGCTTGCAAACACGGGGCGGGTCAGGCCTCTAGAGATATAAAGATGAGACCGTCTTGAGCATACGCCTGGTGGGAACTGGCCAGTATAAAGCAGTACCAGAGGGCTGTGACAGAGTCACCGAGGCCCCAGGCAAAGGCAAGAAAGGTGACCAGAAAAGACATCTAATGTTCAGTATGAACAATAAAGGTTTGGCAGGTAGGGGATGAAGAGAGCAGAGCCTGGCTCTTGAAGTGGCAAGTAAGCTCTGATTAGGAAATGGAGCAGATGTCTTGGCTGAATTGAAGCTGGTGGGTCCTTGCCGGTCTGCTAAGTGGCTTATCCTCCAGCGCAAGGGCAAGCCAGTGACCAGATTTGTGTCTTAGATCCATCATGCTGGGCCGGAGCAATAGCTCTGTGGGCAAGGCACTCACCTTACATGTGATGGACCTGGATTCAATCCCTGGCATCCCATATGGTTCCTGAGCCTCATAGGAATAAACCCAGAACACAGGTGGCATGACCAAAAGAAGAGTGGGGCAGAGATAGAGGGGCCAAGGTGCCTTGCACCTAAGTTTGATCCCCAGCATCCCATATGGTCCCATGAGCGTCACCAGGAATGATCCCTGAGTGCAGAGCCAGGCGTCACCCCCAACCCCCAGTTACCAAAAAAATCAAATTACCCCAAGGTCCTTTCAGCTGTAACACAGTGCATGAGTTATTTGGGGGCTTGAATAAGGTCCGATCTATTGCACTTGGTTGCCAACAAGGTGAAAGTGGGGAGTGGCTGAAGAACTAGGCCACGGTTGAAGGCCTGTTGCACACAGCAGACCCAGGTTTGATGTCCAGCATCATGTAGAGTCTCCCAGGACCAGCAGGGGAGAGCCCTGAGCAGGCCAGGAGTAACCCTAATTTCTACCTGGCCAGGCTATTGGACAGTCTCAGATGGGTTCATGATAAACACCCAACCCAAGTTGCAGGCTACATTTCTGGGTGTGCTGAAGAAGTCAACAAGGCACCCCTGTCCCCTGGTGCTCTTTTAAAGTCATGTGCAGCCACCAGGGGTGGGGGCTGAACCAGGTGGCTGGCAGGGGGCATTTGGACCACTGATGCTCCGTGAAACTGTTTGGTCCACTTCTGTAGGGAACAGGACTAAAGGGCAAGGCTGAAGTGGGCTGTGAGTCAGCTGTGGCCACCAGTGGCCCAGCATGGAACGCCATCTCCACCCACCACCCCTTGGAGTCCCTGGCAACCCGCAACTCTGCACCTGGGTGTTTCGTCCTGCAGTCCAGGGACCAGACTCTGCAGAAGACTCAAGAATGTGCCACCTGCATGTCTTCAACCTGGTACCCTCAGTGACCTCTCAGACATAAAGCAGCTCCCACCCTAACACACACACACACCCCTTCCTGCCTACTGTGCCCCACTTCCTGCAGTGGCATGTGGGACTCATTGAAGAGAGAACCAGTGGGCCCAGCATACTACGCCTTCTGTCTGAGGCTGCTGGGACAGGGGCACACAGGGGCTTGGGGCTGTAGGCCTGAGGGACCTGGTTGTGCCCTCACTGACTGCCCAGATTCGCAACTGCTGGATGGAGGCTTCTAACCACGGCTGCCCGGGGCAGTCCTGGACTCCACTGGGAGTGTCAGTGTCATGGGTGGGTTTAAGGAATGGGTCAGTCAGCACTGCTCGTCACCCACAGATTTCTCTTGCCCCAAAGACAAGTCGATGACAACCTGGAAAGGTGTTCTGTGAAGTGACCCCCACTGGCCCAGTGGGCAGGCAAGAGGGCTAAGCCCAAGGCACTGCACAGTTATGATCATACAGAGCCACGGAAGTGGCAAGGACAGAAGAGCTCCACCACAGCCCCCGCCCACAACCACATGGCTGAAACCACACCCCAAGCCAGCCCAGCACAAGGAGCAGGCCAGCACAGAGTCCAGGTCTGCCCGGGCTCTGGCTCAGCACCTGGGCAGGAGAGGGAGGTACATGTGGGCTCCTAAGCACCGTCTGAAAGGCCCAGATGAGGATGGACCCAGGGGAGCCGAAGATGCAGGCAGGCCCCCAAGTACAACTATGCAGGACAGCATTTGCCTTGGAGGTATGACCAAGTCTGATCACATAATGGGCTCACCAAGTGGTAGTGTGAAGGTGGAGATACTTTATATATCAGATCTAGTGTAGGGCCTATTAATTGGCATACAAATATTTAATGAATAGTGAAACACTGGCTGTAATTGAACTGCAGTCACTGAGACATACTGACTTGATTTATCCATTCATGTCTTCGAAGGGAGAACTTCAGAAAACTTTTGGGGGTGGCAGGAGTGTGGAGGATGGTGTACACACTTTGTGGTGCTGGTGGGGTTTGTGGGACCCCATTATGGTGCTGGAGATTAACTAGGGTAGAAGCCAGAGGAGCTGCAATGCAAGGCATTATTCTTTGGCCCTGAACTGCTGCATTAAGCACCTTAAAGAGGAAGGCAGTGATTTATTATTTATCATGTGCAGTCATCATGTGAAGTGTTGTCCATACACAATTTCATGTGCTTGGGAAGCTGGCAAACTGGTCTTCCAGCCATAGATTCCATAGTGTGACTGTCCCAGCCCACCTGCTAGCCATGAAAATGGTTTTTTTAAAATTTTTATTAGTGAAAATGGCTTTTCTTGGGGGCTGGAGCAATAGCACAGCAGGTAGGGCATTTGCCTTGCATGCCGCCGACCCAGGTTCGATTCCCAGCATCCCACATGGTCCCCTGAGCACCGCCATGGGTAATTCCTGAGTGCAGAGCCAGGAGTAAACCCTGTGCATTGCTGGGTGTGACTCAAAAAACCAAAAAAAAAAAAAAAAAAAAAAAAAGGAAAATGGCTTTTCTTAAACCTTCCTTCATGGCAGTCTTAACAATTTTCCTTACCGATGTATGTATATGTATGTTTAATAGTAGTTTAACAACAGGTATGGCCTTCAGATAATCTGAGAATATAGTTATTTTATGGGTTTAAGATGGGGTCAGCAGACTAAAAACACCTTTTCTGGTGAATTCTTGGTGGTAGAGATAGAAAGCTTTAGCTTCAGGGGCTGGAGATAGTATAGCAGATAGGGTGCTTCCCTTACCTGCAGCCAACGTGGTATTGATCTCCAGCATCTCAGCATCCCTTGAGCCCTGCCAGGAGTAATCTCTGAGAGTTGCTGGACGTGGCCCAAACTCCACCCCTCCATGTCCCCCAAAACAGGTTCTGTTTACTTATTTGCCTTTTGGGTCACACCCAGTGATGCTCAGGGGTTCCTCCTGGCTCTGCACTGAGGAATTACTCTTTGTGGTGCTTGGGGGACCATATGGGATGCCAGGGATCGAACCCAGGTCAGCCACATGCAAGGCAAATGCCCTACCCGCTGTACTATCGCTCCAGCCCCCCAGAGCAAGTTTTAGCTTCAGTACAAGAATCTACAACTTATCCCACTACAAAGAACATATTCCTACATATCCTTTATTTTATGGGCAGAACTAGGCTTATTCCTGGATCAACAATCAGGAATACTCCTGGTGGTGCTCAGGGAACCCTATGCAAAGCCGGAGATTGAAAAGGGTCCTCCTTATGTAAGACAAGCACCTGTCTGCTGCACTCTCTCTGGCTGAGAGACATTCTTTATTGTCCTTTAGAATCCCTCTTCTTCTGGCTCAGAGTCTCTTCATGGTGCTTTCGATGTATGATTCCAGAAGAAAGATGGTTTCATCCACCTGGATCTCACTGGCATCCAACCTAAGTGGAAAAGTAAAAATATTATGGCTGGGAGATAGCACAGGGGGAAAGGTGCCTGCCTTGCACACAGTCAACCAGGTTTAATCCCAGGCACCACACTCGGTCTCCTGAGCCCCACCAGGAGAGATCCCTGTGCTTAGAGTGAAGGGGTGTGGGTCCCAAATAAAATAAAAAATATTTGCCCAGACTGAATGTTTTTTAGCATATTTAAAATGAGCTTGGCTGAGCATAGCCATGAGAACTGCTTGGTTAGTTAGCCCCAAGAATAGTGAGTAGGAAGCAGGAGAACCTTTAGCTCATTCTCCTATTTAATCAGCATCTCTTACAGGCACTATGAGGACTGTTGGAAACTCAAAGACGTCTGTCTTTGGGGAAATTTCAGCCTAACCAGCAAGCAGGAGAGAGAACTGCATGTCTCAAGGTATAGGTATGAAAGTATCTAGTGTGTTTTAACATAGAACTAGAAGCCGGAGAAAATAGCATAGTGGGGAAGGCCTTGCATGAGGCAGACTTTAGTTTGATCCTAGACACCAGATATGGTCTCCTAAGTCCTTCCAGAAGTGACCCCTGAGAGCCAGGAGTAACCTCAGCACCAGTTCCCCCAAATCCAGCCCCCTCACTAAGAAAAATGAAAAAAAAAACTGAGAAAGACTAAGGCTTAAAATGAGTAATGATTAGGAACAGAAGGGAATTTCCTCAACCTGATATGAGTCACCTTTGAAATTCTCAAAGGTTAACGTATATTTAATGGTGAAAGACTGAGGGCAAGAGAGAGTACAGGGACAAAGGTACTTTCCTTGCACATAGCTGGCTCCAGTTTGATCCCACATAAGTTCCCCTGAGCTGTGCTGGGTGTGGCTTCGCTCCAAATAGTGAAATACTGAAAGATTCCCCCCTTACAATCAGGAACATGACAAAAATACCCGTTCTTTTACTTTCACTCAGTACTTTACTGGTAATTCTAGCTGGGGAGGTAGGCAAGAAAAATAAATACACAGCATCTAATCTGGAAAAAAAAGTAAGTTGGGACTGGAGAATAGTACATGGGTTATGGCATGTGCTTGCATGCAGCTGGCCCATATGCACCACATGGGGTCCCTGAGCCCTGCCAGGAATGAGCTCTGGGCACGGAGTCAGGAGTAAGTACTGAGCACTGCAAGGTGTGGGTCAACACCCTCCCTGCTCCACTGAAAAAGAAAAGTGATTTCCACTTACCTAAATATAATGCCATATTAAAAATAATTTTTCAGAGAATTCACACAGTGCCAGGGAAATAGCTTAAAGGGTCAGAGTGCATCTTTGAACGCAAGAGGTTAGATTGGATCCCCGACTCTGCATGGTCTCCTGAGTATAATAAGCACTGAGCCAGGAGGAGCCCTTGGAGCATTGCTGGATGTGGCCTCCAAACCCAATAAATTAATTAAAAAAAAAAAAGTTGAAAAACATAAAAAAAAAAAATCAAAGAAGATGTAAACAAATGGAAAGGCTTCTCAGGTTCTTGGGTTGGAAGACTTAAAATGGTGATCTTCAGATTCAAAGCAATGCCTCTGAAGATAAATAGTGAGGCATGAAAAGAAGGTAACGAGCCAGAGCCATAGCACAGTGGGGAAGGCGCTGGCTTCATATGAGGCTGACCTGGGTTGATTCCCAGCATCCCATATGGTACTCTGAGCCCACCAGGACTGATCCCTGAGCACCTCCAGATGTGGCCATCAAAACCAAAACCAAAACCCCCCAGAAACAAAAGAAACCTCAAAGAAAAGAAATAAGAAAGAAATAAAGATGGGAGTAAGGGGCACTGCACCCAGGATGAAAGGCCTGATTCAAGGCATGTAATCGAAAACCAACAGCCAGAGTGTTTGTGGTGAGGGACGATTTGACAGTTTTTTTTTTTTTTTTTTTTGCTTTTGCTTTTTGGGTCACACCCGGTGATGCACAGGGTTTACTTCTGGCTCTGCACTCAGGAATTACTCCTGGCGATGCTCAGGGGACCATATGGGATGCTGGGAATCGAACCCAGGTCGGCCACGTGCAGGGCAAACGCCCTATCCACTGTGCTATCACTCCAGCCCTTGACAGTTTTTAAGTTGAGGAAAAAAGTTTGACTGAATTCTATCTGTGAGGCTGGAGAAGAGCGAGGTGAGCTCTCACTTAGTTGAAGGCCCTGCAGGCAGGACTCTGAGGCGATCCTTGGGGTATTTTTGGACAAGGGGAGCAGGGCTTTGGGGTCTTATCCAGTGCTGGGATCCAACCAGACAAGCACCTTACCCGGTGGCCCTCTCTTTGGTCCCGGGAAAGTGCTTTGAAACATATGAAGTTTATGACACTAGGCTGAGGAGCTCACTCAGGCTTTGCCTGCAGGAGACATGGGTTTGATATCTGGCATCACAGACATAGCAACCGCAGGGTACAGCCCCAAAACAAACGCAAAAGGTAAACTGAGGCAATTGTGGCCTGCTTACTTGTTGACGTTACGTTTCAGGGTCTCGAGCTGCTGGCGCTCGGGGGCTGTGATCATTTCCTCTATTTCCTGCAGCTGTGTCTCCTCGGCACCTGTGGCCTGCATGGACGCGATGATGGCTTCCACCCGCTGAGACTTCTCCAGTAGGCGCCTGTCAGAGGGCATGACTCTGATCTGGGGGACTCTCACACAAACCTTTCAGCACTGGGTCCTTGGGGAGCCCACCCGCCATTTTTGGTCAAAAATGGATCATGTCCCCATCTCTAAGGATATCTGTATTAAAATTTTAAGCTGAAAAAGATATTTTCAGGGTTAGAATAACAGTACAGAGGGTAGGGCACTTGCTTTGCACACAGCAGACCTGGGTTCAATCCCTGGCATCCAAATGATCCCCCTAGCTTGCCAAGGGTAAGCCCTAAGCACTGCTGTATGTGACCCAAAAATTAAAAGAGAAAAAAAGAAAAAAAAAAGAAGATACTTTCAGATGGTGAGAAATCTTCACTAAACTAGAATTATGATTTCACTTTCAAAAATGTTATTGCTTCTCATTTGTATGTAAAACTTGAGGTCACTCTGTATGCTTCTCATAAAGTGAACCTACAAAATCATTTCCCAGGTATCTATTAGAAAAGTAGAGGCTAATGGTTTAGGCCAAGCTAAGTCAGTGTCCAATGCAACTAGTCTGGTTAGTGTTTCAAGTGGTGTCCACCCTGTCGGAAAAAGTCCCGGGAAGTCTCTGACCTTGAAAATGGGAGCTGACCATTTGATCTAGCAATACCACTCCTGGGAATATATCCCAGAGAGGCAAAAAAGTATAGTCAAAGTGACATCTGCACTTGTTTGTTCATTGCAGCAATCTTTACAATAGCTAGAATCTGGAAAAAACCTGAGTGCCCGAGGACAGATGACTGGTTAAAGAAACTTTGGTATATCTACACAATGGAGTAGTACTTAGCTGTTAGAAAAATGAAGTCATGAAATTTACATACAAGTGGCACTACAAGCAAAATGAGTCAGAAAGAGGGACAGGGGCTGGAGCAATAGCACAGCAGGTAGGGCATTTGCCTTGCACACAGCTGACCCAGGTTTGATTCCCAGCATCCCATATGGTTCCCTGAGCACCGCCAGGGGTAATTCCTGAGTGCAGAGCCAGGAGTAACCCCCGTGCATTGCCGGGTTTGACCCCCCCCCCCAAAAAAAAGCAAGAAAGACAGGGACAGACATGGAAAGATTGCATCCATCTGGGTGGGGAATATAAAGTAACAAAATAGGAGGCTAACACCCAAGAATAGCTGAGATAAGTACCAGGAAGTTTAATCCATGGCTTGGAGGCCAGCTGCACATGCTGGGGGGAAAGGCAGCTCAGATAGAGAAGGGAGCACCAAATAAAAGGTGTTGGGAGGATCCTCCCAGGATGGGAGATGCATGCTGAAAGTAGACTATAGACCGAACAAGATTTCCACTCAATGCCTCTTTTGCAAACCACAGCACCCAAAAGGAGAGAGAGAACAAAATGGAATGCCCTGCCACAGAGGCAGGGTATGGCGGGGGGTGGGGTTGGGAGGGATACTGGGATCAGTGGTGGTGGAGAATGGGGACTGGAGGAGGGATGGGTACTTGGTCATTGTATAACTGAAACCCAAGTACAAAAATCTGTAAATCTACATCTGTACCACATGGTGTTTCACTAAGAAAAATTTGAAAAAAAAAAAATTCACTGAATAGAAAAAAAAAAGAAAATGGGAGCTGGGGCTAGGGCACAGCTCAGGGGTTGTTGCACACTTGGGCCATACGGCATGACGCTGGCTATCAAATCCAGGTTGGCTGTGTGCAAGGCAAGTACATGCACACTTGGCATGTACAGACACCTGAGGTCAGTCATTGGCACTGAGGACAGGTACCAGATCAGCACTATATGCTGGGCACTGGCACTTGGGCGAGAGGACCAAGAATGACAGAGTTGGGCTGGAGCAATAGCACAGTAGGCAGGGCACTTGCCTTGCAGACGGCCAACCTGGATTTGATATCCAGCATCATGCCATATGGTCCCCCGAGTACCACCAGGAGTGATTCCTGAGTGCAGAGCCAGGAGCAATTCCTGAGTATCACTGGGTATGGTGCCAAAGCCAAAAAAGCCGCGACAGGGGTTAGACCCAGGCCTCCTCAATACTGCGTGGAAGAACCTGCTCCAAAATAATGAGCAAAGACTCAACTGGAAGGGGCTACTCACTTGTTCTCTTTGGTTTCAAACTGCCTCCTTTCCATCAGGTTGGCTATGCTCTGTGAAGGAAATGAGAGACCTGTCATGGCTCCGGGGGCTTGAGCAGGAGTGGTGCAGGTACAGACCTGATGTTACCTTGTAGCACCTATGCAGCAGCATTCTGGCAGCGGACAGGATGTTCACGGTGTATAAATAGAAGGTCCGGGACGGGGCATGGTCTGGTGTTTTGGGAATTTCCTATTTGTTCAAAGAAAGGAGAGGCAGGAAAAATAGATGATGGTTCAGCACTAACAGCGGACTCCTGCCTCCGTTCAGGGCAGCCTGACCCATGCCTTCATGACCCTGTCCCCAGCCCCTTGAATCATCAGTCTTCGCCAGCCTGTACCACTGGCCCCTACATCATCTATACCTTGAGTGGGAAAGAAAGAGAAGCCAAGTACCATTTGCCTCTCACCTCTCATGCATCAGACAGACTCTCTGGGATCTCCACAACCAACAATACTGCTTCTCCCCACCATCCACCCTCAATATATAGAGAGGAAAAAAGACAAAAAGAAATGTGCTCAATTGTAACTGGGTAAGTGGCAGGGCTGATTCTGATTCCAGATTCAATTCCATTTATTCCTCAAAGAGCCTACTATATGGCCTTGTGCAAAGTGGGAAGTAACAGATGCTGTTTAATTTACAGTTGATTTCTGGCACTGCAAAAAATAAAAATCGGAATCTATGATAAACTTAGATTTAACTTTAACTTAAGCTTAAAGGACAGAAATGTGAAAAAGGAAAGGTGTCTCATTTTTATTAGGTCATGCATCTTTTTGTTTCTTTTTGGGTCACACCTGGTGATGCACAGGGGTTACTCCTGGCTCTGCACTCAGGAATTACTCCTGGCGGTGCTCACAGGATCATAGGGGATGCTGGGAATCAAACCCGGGTCAGCAGCATGCAAGGCAAATGCCCTACCTGCTGTGCTATCATTTCAGCCCCCAGGTCATGCATCTTTCAAATGCTGGCTATATCTTAAACATTTTTTTCCTTCATTTCAGAGCTGGATGCACTCTGCTTGAGGTTTAAGATATCTACCCCGGGTGTTTCTCTCACTTGGGGCCTGGCCTTCTGGTTGGTGATCATATATCACTGGTTACCTGGAGTGATATGAAATTCTCTGAGAGCATCTTATAAAGCATATCCTTAGCCTCTTTGGCTGGAATCATTGCAAAGTCTTCCACCTGCTTCTGCTCCAGGTGTTTCTTTTGTAAAACCAGACGGAATATTCTGGCACAGCGAGACCCAAATCTAGAAAGGGATGAAAAAAAAAAAAAAACAAATGAAGGTCAACACTAATGAGCCTCAGACCTAGGTAGAGAAGCAGTGCTTGCCTTTTCCCCGTGTGGAGTCAGGACCAGAGAGAGAAATCAGAGAATCCCTCTCTGATTCCACACAAGGATGATGGCTCCAGGTACTCCCTGGAGTGGCACAGGCTCCAGGAAGGCCTGCTTGTGGGTGGAAGGGCGTTGAGAATGACGAACAGTAACAGATGGAATCCAGAGGGCCCCAGTGAGGAATTGGGGTAAATGCAGCAAGGAGAGATTTATACTGTTTACTCGGGGGCTTCCCGGCTTTTCCCAACCATGGCTTCTTTGGACCTTCTTTCTTTCCTGTAGCCCCCAAGTCTCACCCCGTGGCCTCCCCTGGAAACGGTTATCAACTGTGACAGCCCCAGGATATGGCTATATCTTAATCATTTTTTCCTCCATTTCAGAGCTGCATTTACTTTGCTTGAGGTTCAAGATATCCACCCCGGGTGTTTCTCTTACTTAGGACCTACCCTGGGGGTATCCTGGGGGCCTGCAGAGAGCTGTAGCGTCCCTGGCTAAGATACACTGATTGACAAAATCACCACCTTACCATGTTCAAATAAGGTTTGAAAAGGAGGTCTGACCCCAGCCCCAACCAGGTGATCCCTTACCTCTCCTGTATGACAGACTCCAGAGTAGCAGTGGCCAGGGATGCCAGAGCCTTGTGCAAGTCGTTAGGGAGAGTGTTAAGGTCACATGGTAAAGTTTTGGCCTGCTCACTGTGATCATCACTTTATCCTCAAGTCCCTGGCTTAAAATTTAAATACTTTGTTTCCATATCAATTCAGCTCACAATACACAAGTACTTCTTTTTTTCTTCCTTTTTTGGGTCACACCCCATGATGCACATGGGTTACCCCTGGCTCATGCATTCAGGAATTATTCCTGGCGGTGCTCGGGGTACCTTATGGGATGCTGGGAATCGAACCAGGTTGGCTTTGTGCGAGGCAAACACCCTATCCACTGTGCTACTGCTCTAGCCCCAATGCAAGTACTTCTTTTTTTTTTTTTCCCTCTTTTGGGTCACATCTTTTGGGGCAATGCTCAGGGGTTACTCCTGGCTCTGCACTCAGGAATTATGCCTGGCGGTGCTCAGGGGACCATATGGGATGCTGGGAATCAAACCTGGATTGTCCGTGTACAAGGCAAACGCTCTACCCGCTGTGCTATTGCTCCAGCCCCAAAGCAAGTACTTCTTAAAGCTACATCTTACTTAACTAAAAATCCTTCTCACTGTCAGACTCATGTATCTATGACCCTGCTGAACTTACTTATTGTACCACAGACCAGCATGCCTTGGCTTTCAAGAGCTGCCTTTCTGTTTCTGAGTTTGGACTGCCAGGCTAGAATGAAATGACTTGAAAGGATACTGATGACATACATTCCTCCACCACTGTCGCCAGACTTTCCAACAAACTCCAGCTATTGGAAAAAGAGAGTGTTAAAGAACGGGAAGCCCAGCAAGTCTGCTGCTGAGTGAGCAAATCTGGTGGCCATGAGTGTGCAGAAGAGAGCCATCCTATCAGACGACAGTGGAGAAACTGTCACAGGGCTGGACAGGCAGAGAGTGAGGTGCCAGGTACCATCACTGGCAGAAATCACTGTAAACACAGTAGGAAAAAAATGGCCCCCAAGAGGCAAACCCATACTTACCGGGTCATCAGCCAGGAGAGTGAGATACTGATCAAGAACTTGCTTAGAGATATTATAGCCCACAGGCAGGGATCTGAAGATCTACAGAGCAAAAAGACACTACAAATGGGATTGGGGAACTCAGAACTGCTGAAACAGAAGTATTTTGCTTTTAGTGAGCATAAGTTCAACATGTCCACTAATATAGCAGTTCTGTTTGTAAGTTTGAAAAAATAAAAAATGGGGGCCAGGGAAATAGTTCAAAGGTCAGTCTTATGCTTTGCAATTCCCAGCAATGCAGTGTCTCCCCTGAGCAACGCTGGGTATGGCCCCCTAACCCTAAAACAACCAACAGTAAAGACCAACTAGAAACATGGGATCAGAGAGGCTAGTTCAGGGGTTAAGGTGCTTGCCTGCATGTGGCTGGCCTGTGTTTGATCCCAGCCCCTCCTAAAATAGAATCAAACTAGAAACAATGCAATGTTTAGTAAAGAATAGATCTTATACACAGCGACTTCACCCTTGGGAGGTATAAAGCCTGATATAAAAACTCACATGTAAAGCCAGACTAGCTCCCTCTAGGTGAAGAAAGGCAAGTTTAGAACCCCATGTGGTCTTGGGGACCAGAGACGTACTACAACGGGTAAGGCACTTGCCTTGCAAGCAGCCAACCCAGGTTCGATCCTCAGCACCCAATATGGTCTCTTGAGCACTGCCAGGGTCAGTCCTGAGCACAGCTGGGTGTGATGTCAATCACTAACCCAGCCACCACGAAAGTAATAAAATATAAAAATAAAACACTGTGGGGATGAAGTGATAGCACAGGGTAGGGCACTTGCCTTGCATGCGGCCAACCTGGGTTCGATTCCCAGCATCCCATATGGTTCCGCAAGCACCGCCAGGAGTAATTCCCGAGTGCAGAGCCAGGAGTAACCCCTGAGCATCGCTGGGTGTGACCCAAAAAGAAGAAAAAAAAAGGGCAATAGTGCAAAGCAAGCACTGCAGCCCTTTGAGCTACTTCTCATGCCTCAACAGCAATTCCGTAAGGAACAGAAATATTAAAAACAAATGTAAAATACACAACATGAATATACGGCAAAAACTAAAACATATGGAGTTGATGTTCTGAGCACTAAAGTTCTCAAGTTTTAATTTTTGCTGCTCTGAAGGACTCAGAGCATCTTGGCCATTTTGTGAGTTTGTTTTTGGGTCACTCCTGGCAGTGCAGTGGCAGGAATGGAACTGGCTGGTTTTCTGCAAATGTATGTTTGGGAGCCCGCTGAGCTCTCAGGGGCCCCAGCAAAGGCTTGTCCTGACTTAATAAGGAAGGCCGCTCTCAATGCTCAAGTTGCCAGAGATCAGGCATTTCAGGGCCGATCATGCCAGGAGGATTCCTTTCTTGTCTCCAGCAACTAAACCTCCTACCCAGGCCCAGGCCTCCTCCAGTTAAATCAAAGGCTCTCTGAAGAATGCCTTATTTCCTTTGTTTTGGGGGCACACCTGGCGATGCTCAGGAGTCACACCTGGAGGTGCTCAGGGATGCTAGGGATGGAACCCAGGCTGGCTGCGTGCATAGCAAATGCCCTCCCTACCTGCTGTACTATTGCTCTGGCCCTCTGAGAAGAATTCTATTGGAACATTCAAGAGTGGTGGAAATCTAGAGCAGGACCATGAGACTCACCTCGTTGGAGGACAAGGGCTGCGTGAAAGGGGCACAGGAAGGTGTGGTGACCTCACTCACCCGGAGCATGGTCCGCACAATCTCGCTGCTGGTCTGTGTGTGACAGGGAGGGGGACTCAGAACCTGTTCAGCAGGGCCAGCGTTGGCCACTGCTGACAAACAGGGGCTGTCCCGGATGTCACTGGCCCACCCTGGGAGGCAGCACCTGCTCCATCCTGTTGGCGACTGCGCTCACAATGGCCTGGTCACGGAAGTGCTGGTGGAATCTGTCCAGGTTGGCTTGCCAATAAATCCCATCGTCTGGAGTGGGCTGAGGAAGGAACGAATCGAGAAGCACTGAGACACAGAGGAGCATTTTCTGGCGAGCAGTGAGGATCCCACACATCCCTGTTTCTTTTCCTATGCAGGGGCAAGTAAAGGGATGGAAAACAATGATTGGATCCTGTGGGTTGGGATGTCTTGGCAGAGACTCACGGTGCCTGACGCCTGCAGGTTCTCTAAGCTCACCTCCAGGGGGATGAAGGGGGGGTCCCTGATTTAGCGCCAGTCTGTTAAGCCTCAGAACTCCCACCTCCCTCGACCTTTTCACTCTCAGATGATTGTACAGAGAAAACTGAAACCATCAGACCCATCCTGCTGCAGGGCCTGAGCCTCACCATCTTCTGTTTTTTTTTTTTTTGGAAAAAAATACATATATATATGTATATGTATTTTTTATATATATATATATATAAACAAACACATATATATATATACCTCTACCCCGTTTTATCATAGTGAAAAATATTCCTCTTCCTGTCTAAAGTTAATAATGTGAAGTCTGGGCTGGAGCGATAGCACAGCGGGTAGGGCATTTGCCTTGCACACGGCTGACCAGTTTGGTTTCCAACATCCTATATGGTCCCCCGAGCACTGCCAGGAGTAATTCCTGAGTGCAGAGTGCAGAGTCAAGAGGAACTCCCTGCGCATTGCTTGGTGTGACCCAAAAAGAAAAAAAAACCGAAGGGTTGGAGACAGACAGAGAGACATAGATAGTACAGGGGGTCAAGGCACTCGCCTTATAGGTGGTCACTTCAACCGGCCCCATTTTGAATCCCCAGCTTAGGGTCCCCTGAGCCAGGACGAAAGTCTGAGTACTACCAGGGTGGCCCAGAAACCAAAGACCAGAGAGTATGTTCTCAGGAGCACAGCAGTGGTTATGTGTGAGCGCTGCCCAACCCTTGCCACCAACCATGCGGGCAGGAGGGGGACAGGAGGCAGACAGAGTGGCAGGGAAGTATTGGCCCAGAGCTGACCAGAGATGATGGCGGCTTGGACAAGGGAGGACAGGAGAAGACTCATCTGGATTTATGGTTATTTGGCGATTAGGCTGAAAGGATAACTTGATGGTTCCTAGGATTTGGGGCTAAGCAAATGGGGCTCTAGAGAATTGGTCTAGGTCAGAGGCACTCACACTTCTTCGGCCTCTTGCCCATCTTTCTCCATGTGGCCCCCATAAGAAAGTACTGGGGTGTTTGCTGATTCAGACAAAAGGGCCCTGATGGGAGGCTGTCCCCATCTCTGTCCCTATTGTTACTGGGGCTGCAATCTTTCTGCAGGGGGTGGCGCTGTCTACTGAGATGACACAAAGGTAGATTTTTGGAAGGAGGAAAGCAATGGCTTTGTTTTGGCTAGAATGATTTTGAGTTGCTTGACAGACATCTTTCTGGGGATGACAGAAGTCACTGGAGCAAGAGAGCTCTGTTCTCTCTCTCGATTCATTTTTTTCCCACTGGCACCCACAACTTAGTCATTGTAAGTGACCCAAACCTTCCCTGGGCCATCTTTTCCCATATACTGTTCCCTCAGCTCACATAAATTTAATCTAAGAAGTCAGAGAAGGGGCTAGAGCGATAGTCCAGTGGGTAGGGCATTTGCCTTACATACGGCTGACCCAAGTTTGATCCCTGGCATCCCATATGGTCCCCTGAGCACTGCCAGGAGTAATTCCCGAGTGTAGAACCAGGAGTGAGCCCTGAGCATCACCAGGTGTGACCCTCACCAAAAAATTAAAAAAAAAAAAGTCAGAGAAGCCTCTAAAAGTAGACAGGGATGGAATTCACTCTTGGTGAGGCTATGCAGGGCCAGAATTCAATGACACCCATAAGCCTGCTAAGCTGGCACCCTGGGCTCCATGCTATCTCGGGGCACCGTCTGGCAGTATTTGGGCGCAGCCCCTAATCAGGAAGATGTTACCTCTTTGTTATCTGTGGCGTGTTTGGGTCTCTTGGCCTTGGGCTCTCCAGAAGCATCTTCGTCAGATGATCTCCTCCTTTTACCTTTTCCTGCCAAACATAAAGTTCGAACAGTTCAGTGAGGTCCCGCAGAATGACATTCTCCGTGACAGAAAATGACAGAAGACATGAGCAGCTGTGTCCATTCCAGACACCCCAGAGAGCTGGGCCCAAATCACAGCTGCTAAGGAGAGTGAGTAGCTGCCCAAGTTCATGATGCCATAACCTGTGACTCAACATGCTCCAAAGGAAGTTCATCCTCTTTCTTCCTCCAGCTATTCCTGCTCTGAGCTTGCTTCAGAGCAAATGGCAGTCTCATCTTCCACTGTGCAAGCCAGAGGTGACACTGTGCTAATACAGGACCGACACCCTTCCCCAACCATCACACTTACTCCTGCCCCAGAAAAAGCTTTTTTTTTTTTTTTTTTTGCAGCTGGGGGAGGCCCATACCAAGAGGTGTTCATGGCTTACTCCTGGCTCTGTGCTCAAGGATCACTCCTGGCAGTACTTAGGGACCACACTTGGTGCCAGGGATGAACACAGATATGCCATGAGCAAAGAAAGTGTCGTACCTGCTGTACTATCACTCTAGCTTCAAAGACAGAAAATATTTTTAAAAATGCAAATCAGATCATGTGACTTGCCTGCTTAGACTCTTGTCTCCAGTGTTTCAGGGTCAAGAGCCGCCACTAAGGTGCTGCCTGATGGGGCTGCTGCCTGTTTCTCTAAGTCTATTTCCCGGCTCTCTGTCCTCTGCTCACTGAGTTTTTACCACACCCTCTTTCTCCTTACCCCCCGACTAGATTCTGTTCTCCCTTTAAACTATCACTGTGCTAAAAGTGCTTTCCCTCTGTGTCCCTCACCTAACTGAAAGACTCTTACTTCTGCTTCAAGTCTTTGCTCTTATCCCATTTCCTAAAAGTATGTTCTGTAAAGCGTCAGATAAATCCAGTCCTCTTCCACATATTTTCATAGAGTCTCATGTATTTCCTTACTAGGACTTACCATGGGCTCTGTGATGTGGCTGCTTTGCAGGTGTGAGGCCAGGCCCACATGCCCTAGTAGAGTCCTTGACATTCCGGAGACCCTAAGCTGTAGCTAAAGTGTGTGTGTGTGTGTGTGTGTGCGCGCCTCAGGAGGCACCTCAACCACAAGTACATGCAGCAACAACAAGAAAGGGGGGGAGAGAGAGAGAGAGAGAGAGAGAGAGAGAGAAGTACTTGATCACTTGTAAACATTTAATTCAAGACTCCTAGATTAAAGGTGTGTAAGCAATGGAACAAATTCTTTTTTAAAAAGATATTTAGTTTTAAATTTTTGGGCCATACTTAGCAGTGCTCAGGATTTAGTTCTGGCCGTGCTCAGGGATTACCCCCAGCGGGGGCTCCTGGAGACCATACGTGGAGCTACAGATTGAACCCGTGCCTGACCTGCTATATCATCTCTCTGGGTCTGAACTTGTACTTTTGGGGACCTCCTGGCAATACCTGACCATCTGGGCTGGATGGCTGTATGTGAGGTCCAAGGATGTAGAGCTGCTTAGCCCCCATGGGGCAGGGGACCACCAGGGCATCCCAGTGGTGCTGGTGAACTGCCAGAGCTCATCTAGACAAGTATGGAGCCATGTGGTACTTGAGACTGGGCAGGGCCCCACACAGGAAAGGTATGTCCCCAGTCACCGCATCACCTCCCTGGTGCCCAGTATAATTTGTGATCATGATGACACCATCTGTGACCCAGAGCAAATCCTCTAAGAGATGAGAGTGACTTGTTTATTCTTGTACTACCGCTGAAGAAGGAACAACCAGGGCAGGACAGTTCCAGGAAGCAAAGCTCCTTACCTATCAAGCTCAGCTTTGGAACCACGTACATGTCTTTTTCACTGATGACAAGAGATGGGGCGGGTGGCGGTGGCCCTGGGTCTGAATTCTCGGCGGTGGCAGGCACGCAGGGGCAACGCTGCACAAAGTGTGTGTCAGCGAGTCGCACAAATGTGTTTGCGACCTCTGCATAGTCCATGGTCTTGCCATCTGTACAACAAGAGCAGAGAGGAGGTGAGGTGGCCTCATAGAGCTGTGGGCCCGCTCCTGTAGCCAGCTCAGCTGTGGGCACCGCACTGACCCTCCATGGTCTCTGTGAGCCTGTCTGCAACTTTCTTCACCACTGCTGACATTGTCATCTTGCCATTCAGGAGCAACTCCTCCACGATCAGCTCCCCAGTGTCGCTGTACAAAGTCTTGGCTGTGTAGATATACCTGGGGTACCGAGGCATGCGTAGCACCCGGCTGCACTGGGCTTCATACTCTACTATGCCACGTCTGTGCACCTGGTACAGTACCAGGTTATGTTGGATCAGGACACAAAGGGCTTTTTTTACCTAGAGAGGATTAAAAAAGAGGTGGGATCTGAAGGCATAATTCAATATTGCTGGCAAGCTGTGTTCACAAGTTTACCAAGTATCTGGTAAACGCTTGGGGGTGACTCTGATACTGCTGAACCATGTGGTGCTAGAAATGAAACCCAAGTCCTGGGTCTGAAGAGAGGACACTGGATAAAAATCTGTGCTTCTGTCCTCCCTCCACAGAAATAGCAAATAAGAATCATATGTCAATGACAGAAAGGAAGATTCCTAGATATGATCCTTATCTCTCAAAGCACAAATTTCTTCCCCTTTATTATTCCTATTCCTTCAAGGTAGTACTCAGTGGGAACAAATGAGGTACGTGAGGGAAATGTGAAGATCTGCCTAGGGGCACTTTAAGAAGCTCAGGCTTGGGGGTCTATGGCTCATATTCCTTCCCCACAAACGGCAGTTTTTTCCCCTTTGCCATTCAGTGGGGGGGAAACAAATATTCAAAGGTAAAGGTAAGGTAAGGTAAAGGCCCTCCCGTTGGTCGTCGATTTGCTCGAGCGGGCCCAGTAACGTCTCCATTGGAGACTTTGTTGTTACTGTGTCTGGCATATCGAATACTCTCGGTAGCTTGCCGGGCTCTCCGAGAGGGGCGGAGGAATCGAACTCGGGTCGGCCATGTTGGCTGCTTGTAAGGCGAACGCCCTACCTGCTGTGCTATCGCTCCAGGAGCTGGAGCGATAGCACAGCGGTAGGGCATTTGCCTTGCACGCAGCCAACATTCAAAGGTATGAGGAATGAATGAAATGGAAACAAGTTAGTGTCACCCCAACACACCTGATCCAGTGATGTTCCTGTGTCACGGGCAATTATTTTCAATGGTTGACTGCCAGTTCTGATGAGGTGGACTCCAATTTTTTCTACGATCTCCCCAAAATGCTCTTGCAGCAGTAAAGAACAAAGTTTAATTTCTGCTTGAGTCATTGTACCGAGGACTTTAAGAGCTAGAACAACAAAAAAAAAAAAGCCCATGTAAAAAACTATGTCAAGTTTTTCATTTGCCTATGCAGTAAGGCTTTTGAGTTTAAATTCATGAGCTTTCTGCAGCCCAATCTGACATGATCACCAAAGGCATGAAAATCTCACCTGACTCTGAAGTAACAAGTTTGGTAAACAGTAATGTTTTAATAAATCAGCTTATGCTGGTGCATACAGCAACATTATAAACCAGTGCAATACCAGCATTCATTTACTTGACACAATATAAAGTGTAGAAAGTTGTTCACTAGAACGGTGTTCATCATGGATTAAGTGAAAATCTGTAATTCTAAAAAAAAAAAAGGTTAAGAAAAACAAGGATGCATAGGAAAAAAACGCTGGAAACACACAGAGAATAGCTCTTTTTAGGGTTGTTTGTGGGTCTGGGGTTAACGTCTGACTTCATATTCCACGCAGCGCAGCTGGAAAGAACGGGGAGGCTCAGGTCTCAGTATGGTGGTGGTAGAGCGGGTAGGGGGGGGAGGGGAAGGAGGGACGACGGACGGAACGGGATGGACACTGTGCCACACTCCGTCCAGAAGGGCCACCACACATTTGCCGGGGGGGGGGGGGTGGAGGAAGCGGCTTCCCCATGGGGGGTCTCGACTGGGGTGACACGTGAATCGGGGCAACAGTGGACCCTGACGCTTTTCTCCCACAAGACAGCAGCGACACCAGCACAAGGAGGCAGTGAGACAAACGTGGGCACGCTTCTCTATGCCCCAGCCCGGGTCCCCCCATTCCTCGCGTCGGGGGCCGCTTCCCCGGACCCTGCATCCCAGAACTCCCCTACAGCTCCCAAGGAACTTGGTTCCTGTCGAGTCCAGCTAGGGACGCGGCCCTAGGGCCTACGCGGGAGGGGAGTCCCTCAGCTGGGCGAGCGTTTCCCACGAACCTCGGGCCAACGTGCGACGGTCTGCGAGTCCAGAGCGCCAGCCACAGATCTCCGGCTCCGGAGGACCCGGAAGCGTGAGGGAAGGAAGCGCCGCTCTGCCCCAGCCTCTCGGTGGTGTTCGGGCCGCTCTTGCTCGCATCTCGTTGGGAAACGGGAGGACTGGCGAGAGGCTGCGGGCTGAGCGGTCAGGCTGGCAGCAGCGGGCGCGCGCGCCTCCCAGCGGGTCTCCGGAGCCTGGAGGCGGGCCGAGGCCGCGCTGGCTCACGTGACCGCCGGGGGCCGGGCCTCGGCCGCGCCGGCCCCCTGGGCGAGCGGCGGCGGGAGGCGGGCACCGGGCTGCGGACGCGCCGGCCAAGCTCTCGGGACGGCGGCGGCCGAGGAAGATGGCGGAGGCGTCGGCGGCCGGGGCGGGCGCGGGGGCCACGGTGGCCGCGCACCGCTTCTTCTGCCACATCTGCAAGGGCGAGGTCAGCCCCAAGCTCCCGGTAAGAGCCTGCGTCGGCCCCCGGCACGGGCCGGAACGGCGACCCCGGGGCGGGATCCGGGCGGGGTCGCACCCCGGGCTGGGCCGGACCCGGGCACCACGGAACCGCTGTGCGCCCTGCGACCCCGCCCGGCTCCCCGGGGTCTTCCGGCCTCGGCTGTCCGCGGTTTCCTCTACGCCGGCTCCCGTGACAGCCCCCCGGTACGCTGCCCCGAAGACCCCACCCCCGACCCCACCCCGGCCGCGCCGAAGAGCGGGTCGTGGAGGCCGCGTCCCGGCGCAGGTGAACCTCTGAGCGCCGCTTCCGTGCGTGTCCTGTGCGGTGCCGGGGACCCGGTGTCCTCCGGTCGTGATGCCACCGCTGCTGGAGCACCGCCTGCGCCACCCGCCGTTCCCCGCAGTGCAGAGCGCCGTGGGCGCCCCGCGCGTGGGGTGGAAGTGGGGTCCCGGCGCGGGCCGGCACGTGGCCCCGCTCGCCTCCCCCGGGACTGGCCTTGCCCTCGTCAGGACCGGCCTGGCACCCGCACCGGTGCCATCCCTGGCCGGTTGCAGCCCGGGAGAAAACCCGAAAAGGCCTCTTGCTGAGGGCTCGGGTCGTAGGACCAGAAACGCAGCCCGGCCAGGCAAGTGCCCAAAGGCTGTTTTTTCCAGCCTTTGTACGGAGAGTTGGACTTTTCCAGACTTGGCATTCCCTTTCTCCCCCAACCCCCCATCCGTTTGCCTGTCTCCAGTGTCAGACTTGCAGTTTCAGTGGCTCGTGCTTTGGGTTTTGCTTTTCGATTTGACTCCGGCTCTGTGTGTGTCTTTTTGCCGCATTTCAGTGCCACCAGAGCCTTGTCGTCGTGGTGTTCCACACCCCCCCCCCCCCCACGCACACACTTTCTCCTTTCCATCCGCAGCGGACATCAGAACCTCGAGGTCTCTCTCCCCACAGAGGCAGTCTGTAACTCAGATTGTATGTGCGATCGCACAGTGACAAGTTAATGTTGACTTTTTTTTTTTTTTTTTTGGCTGGAAGTCACATCTGACTGTGCTCAGGGCTTACTCCGGCACTATGCTGGGGCCACTCCTAGGGGTTCAGGAGACCATAGTTAGGGTTTGACTAGTGCCTTTTTTTCTGTTTTGTTTTCAGTCTGATTCTGTTTTATAGCTGAATTAAAAGCTGCTGCTTTGTATAGTTTTTAAAAATTGGTTGAATTTTTAAAAATTGAATTACTGTGAGATACACAGTTACAAAGTTGTTCATGATTGGGTTTCAGTCATGTAATGTTCCAAGATTTGTGCCTTCATCAGTGTTCGTTTCCCACTACCACTGTCCCATTTCCCTTCTGCTTGCCACCCCCCTCTTTCTTTACCCCACCAAGGCAAGTGCCTTAACTTCTCTCCGCACCATTTCTCCAAACCCAACTTTTATTTGTTTTATGTTTTTGTCCATACCTGGTGGTGCAGAGGGCTCGCTTCTGGCTCTGTGCTTAGAGATCTCTCCTGGTAGATGGATCCTATGGAGGTGCTGGGGTATGGAACCAGGTTAGTGCCTGAATCCCTGTACTATCTCTCCAACCGTGTTGAATACTTAACTTTTCTTTTTTTTTTCCTTTTTGGATCACACCCAGCCATGCACAGGAGTTACTCCTGGCTCTGTACTCAGGAATCACTCCTGGCGGAGCTCAGGGGTGCTGGGTATGAACCTGGGTCGGCTGCGTGCAAGGCAAACGCCCTACCTGCTGTACTATCGCTCAGGCCACACTTAGCTTTTCTATCTGACTTGTTATTCACTATTTGCTTTTAGAGTAAGAAGTCAGTTTAACGTTCCACACTTTTATTTTTTCTTACTACCTCAGAACCTCCCTTCCAAGTGCTCTTGAAGAAGGGTAATTTAGTAAGACTTTTCAGGAGATCTTCTAAGCCTTGCTTTGATGCCTTGAGAAATTATTGATCTTTCTGTCTGATTTACTCTGTCATGCCTGATTTGTAAATTGAGGCCTAACAGAAGTATTTCCTGCATATACATAAGATTCTCTGTTAAAATTCCTGGGGGCTGTTTGGAGGCATAAGTAGTTCTTGCCTTAAGGGACCTGTTTTATTGGAAACACAAGACAAACACGGAAGGAACAACAGTATATAAAGGAAGTGAGGATGGATAGAGTGCAGCTGGTAATGTGGAGAAAGAGAAGACGTCCTATTAGTTGAGTTACAAAGGAATCTTTAAAAATGATACTTTGTGTAAACTTGAGTTTAAAGTAATACTTTGTATCAACTTGAATCCCTATCTCTAAGTACCCAGCATGTATTAGCATGACTTTCTAAACTGGACAAATGTTATGGGAAACCCGTGTGAGCTTGCGGGTGTGTGTGTATCTAGCCTCAGAATGGGCAGCACCCTATCCCTTGTGCTCCCAGACCTGGTTTGTTTTGAATAAGGTTTTCCTTTGTCTACACTGAATTACAGGGACCATCGTGTCACTCCTTCAAATACAGGAGACTGTGACTTGGTTTCATCTTGGCTTTGAGTAAGTGATCTTGATGTTCCTTCCCCCAGCTGGGAGTGGGGGTGGGGTGTGGCTGGGGCGGGTAGGGGACAACGGCCTCCTCTGAACTGACTTAGTTCTTGATATTTGGTGTACCATGAAGTACGCTCAGAACAGAATGGAGGAGCAGGGATGAGAGGTGGGTTGTGGAGCAGAACTGGAGGACAGAGCCACTAGCACTGCTGAGAGCTAGGCTGAGAGGTGGGCCATGCTGTGCTCTAGGGACTAGCTCTGCCATCTCTGCCTTGAACAGTTCCTGAGTCCAGCACTTTTGATTCATTCCAAAGTTTTCATAGATAATAGCAGTATTTACCCCAAGATCAGCCCTGAAATGACTATTAGTTTTTATTTGTTTTTTCCTGTTTTTTTTTTGTTTGTTTTGTTTTTTGACTCTAAAGACCCATGGACCCAGTTTACTTTTGTGTCTAGTAATTTTCTGCACTGGATATGACACGAGGCTATTGGCAGATGGTTTTTGGCATGTTGGTAGTGGTGAAGACTGCCTACCAAAAGCATTAACATCAACATGGTTGCAAAAAACTTGCTTAATATCAGGTTATAATTTTGACACACTTCAGTAACTCTCATTCATTGTATCTTGTCTTTAGTTTTGTTTGTCTGCCTCTCCACCACCCACTTCCTTCTTGCTGGTGGGTGCGTGATTGTAGCTATGACCAGGTCCTCACACTTGTGGACAAGGTGCTGCCCTTGTACTCTGGTGCTTGCAGAAGGTCTTTCGTGGGCCTCACATGGGTTTTTGGGTTGTGGTGTCATCAGGGTTACCTGCCTTTTAGTGGTGCTGTGCACGTGGCTGTGGTGGGGCTAAACTCTAGTGAGCTTCTGGGGTCACACCCGGCATGGGACTGAGTGACTGGGCCTCTGAGTTTGTGGACATGACATGCGAGGTGGATTCTGAGCAGTGGCTCTTCGGTTTTTCCTGCTCCTCTGTCTAGCTCCTGAGACAGTCTGGAGTGTGCTTGATGCCACATCTGCTTTGAAGGAAAGTTATGAAGAAGATGTTCAGAAATGAGAGGAGCTGCAAAGGGATCCCTGGGCTCATCCCCACTGGCGTCCCTCGGGAACAGCATCCCCACACAGAGAGTCCAGAGTAATGCCTGAACTCTGCTGCTCATGACCCAGAGACAAAGGCAAGACAAGGAATGAAGGGATGTCATGAAAGAACATTGAGAATGCAAATATGTTAAGTGACACCATTATGTAGATTTCAAAAATGGATCTGTTCAAGCAGTAAAGAGTTACAGAGGAACTTCTTTGATCGAAAGTATTTTCCTATTTACAATAAAACATTTTTTAAATTTTCTTTTGGGACCACACCCAATGATGCTCATGTTATTACTCCTGGCTCAGCAC